TTAATTCTCATTTTGTTGATTATTAATAACTAATTATCACAACGTAATTCATATCACTCATAATGGAAATGCTTGTAGATTCAAACTGAGAACTTAATAATAGAACAGAAACTTATAATGGAACGGTTAGCTAATAGAAATTCTATGAATTGTATGATGGAGTGTGAAATTTAGCTTAAGTACTAATACCGATAGATTATTAAAAAAAAAAAAACAAGACTCATCAGTGTATTAATTGGAAAGGCATTACCTTACTTAGATGCAGAGGTTGTTTGAATATTTTTTGATCAGCAAGGTCATTAGATAATCAAATTTGCTCCTTCTCTGAAGTCAGTTCCTTCTTACTTTTCATGGTGCTAGGGATTGAACTCAGGGCCTGTCCAGATGCCAAACACTTGCCCACTGAGCTGTACCCCCAGCTCCATGAAAGCCATTCTACAGGTACCATCAGCACTCAGTTGCACCCAGCTTCCCCTCTTTAAGGCCTCATTATCTCTCTTTATTCTACTGCATTAGTCTTTTATATGACCTCTCTCTCACTGAAACTTCCTTGGGCTTCAAACTACAGTACAATATCCACTTAAAAAATTAATTTCCCTAAACCCAAGTTATGATCTTGTCAGTCACAACTGAAAGATATTTAATGAATTTTTATAGCACTGAACAGCAGCTCTCAAATATTGTTGAGTAGCAGAATCAACTGGAGAGCTTTAAAAACTTTAGCTTCTACAATTGTGATGCTCAAGCCACACTCCACTCTAATTAAATCAGAATTTTGGGCAGGAGTGTAATGGGCTAGGAACCAGAGCCAAGCATTAGTTTTTTTTTTTTTTTTAAATATTCTCCAAGGAAGGCCAAGGCACAGGTGTATGCTTTGGGTGAGTGGTTGGTTAGAGTAACATTAACCCCATATGTGAGGATCTTAAATGAGCACAGAGGTCTGCTTGCCGTCTTCTTGCCCCCTGCCTGGGGATGACAGTCTTAAAGATGGGTCTGGGCATTTTATATTTTTTTCTAAAGACCACAGAGGATTTTGTTGCTTCTTAGTGAAAACCTCTAGCCTAGACCAATTAAAATCAGCATAATCGGATCAAAAGAAAAATGTTTCTTGGTTAAAGTATATAACTAGGTGTGAACCAGAATTGCAAACTGCTATAAACGAGAAATTACAAATCTTATAGGTATCATTCATGGTTTTACTTCTACAAATCAGAGCAAATCCAAATCTGATTAGGCTTTCTAGAGGACTATAATTCTCTTGGTCCATCCTGTATGATGTAGGAAAGGCTCATATGTGTATAGCCTGCTTTACAACTTTCTGGGGGACATGAAGTCCCATCTCAGAAGCTTTGCCTGAGTAGAAACCTCATCTACCTCAAAGCTATATATGTATTTTTTTAAGAGATGAAAATTTATTTTCTCACATTTCTGGAGGCTAGAGGTCCAAACAACAATTCTGGAAGCTTTAATCTCTTCCGGGGCCTTTCTGCTTGGCTTGCCAATGGCCATCTTTGCACTGTGTACTTACATGGCTTTTCCTTTGGGCTCTTACATTCCTGATGTCTCTTTGTACATTCAAATTTCCTCTTCATATAAGGACACCAGTTGGGTTGGATCAGGGCCCATACTAGCAGCCTCATTTTAACTTAGTCACGTCTTTAAGGACACTATGTCCAGTGATAATCAAATTCTCAGATACTGGGTTTAGGGCTTTGACTTATGACTTTTGGGAAGACAGTTTAGCCAGAACAAAAAACAAAACCATCTACAATAAGTGTCTGTTCAGTAAGAATAAATTACTGCCCCCTCCATGGAGAAGGATTCCAGTGCAATCAATCTGTCAAAGGTGGTAACTTGTTTTTCCAGAGATATGTATCTTGTCCGGGGATCCTGGGTGGTTGTTGAGTCCCTGCATAATGTCCATCTTTGTCACAATGGTTAAGTTTTTCATGAGTCTGTTGAGCAAACAGGATGGTCAAAGCTATATTTGTAGAACCTAGAAGAGTGTTTGGTTCATATTATGTATTGAAAAATTATTTGATGAATAAGGATGTACAATTTTCCAGTTAATAATTTGAGACCACACAGTCCTATATAATTATCTCCCCTCCTTTTCTCAGCTGTAAAAGAAGCCATCCATCTTTCCAACACCAGGTGGAGCTGGTCACTCATAGGTACTGTATCTTAGATTTTATTCCCCTTGATGTCCCTGTTGAGCACTGATCCTGCATTAAATCACAGGACATTAATCCCTTGATGCAGTGGAGCCTACTGATTCTAAATCTTTCTCTTATATGTCACAGTTGTGGCTCTACTTTGAGCTCTACAAGAGATGCCACAACAAAGCATCACAAATCGTACCACTTAGAAGAACAGAAATTTACTGCTATACTTGTGTTGGTCTGAAGACTGAAAGCAAGGTATTGGCAGAGCCATCCTCCCTCTGAAGGCAGGAAGGAAGAATTTCCAGGCCTGGTGGTTGCTTCGCTTGTGGCAGCATAATACTGGTCTTCATGTGGCAGTCTTCCTGTGTGCGTTATCCATCTATGTTGACCACTTCTATAAGACTCCAGTTATATTGAATATTGCACTAGGGGTCTACTCTGTTCCAGTATGATGTCAACTAATTACATCTGCAACCACATAAGATCATTAGGACTTTAATATGTAATTCTAGAGAGGATACAATCCAACCCATTATAGTCCCCAGATATAACCCACTTCTGAGCCATTGTCCCCCAAAGCATCTGGAAATCTAGAGGGGCTGTCAAAGCTTAGTTACAAGTTTCCACATCCTACTGTTGAACACAGGTAATATTCCACCCCCTCCAAATTGTTCCCATGTGGAACAATTGGAAAGATTATCCCTTGATAATCTTTCTATGCTAGAACCATGTGTCCGATCTGCAAGATAACCTTAACTTAAAATTAGAGAGAGAGAGAGCAAGCTGCAGTATTCTCCTTGTCTTTTTGGAAAGTACATGGCTTTCTTTTGCACATTACTCCTCTATTAAACAGTTTACCAACAAAAATAGAGGCATAGAAAAGTGTCAGCCTCAGCATCAGCCCAGTAAAATATTCCAACTATGTAAGTGAAGCAGTTAAGTCATTGATCAGCAAGATATTCTAACCAATCAGAACTGGACTTTTGTTTGAATTTTGGGAGACAGTATTTCTCTCCTTTCTCTGAACTTGGAGCTCAGTGCATTTACATAAGGCTTATACCCCATCAGACACAGAGATACTCTGCCTAAGAGCAGTGTCCACATAGCTGAAAGAAGAGCTTAGAGTTAGAGAGAGACTGGGCCTTTGGACATTCTTTAAGCCCCTAGTTCAAGGGCATCTTACTACCTTTTGTTAATTCTCTCTCTTTTTTTCATTTTTTTGGTAGTGGGCATAGAACTCTGGACCTTGCACTTTTGAGGCAGATGGCAGCACAAGTGAGCCAAATAGCTGGCCTGTTAGTTCTCTTTTTTCCCCCCAGTTAAACCAGTTTCAGTTAGATGTTTATTGATACTTGAAAGAATGATAGTCAATAAATACGATGGCAACTGAGGAGACCACCTCTTCCTCTAAGTTTCTCCTTATCTTGATTCTGTCTCAGTATCTCTTGCAAGGAGTGTATAATTTACTGTTGGAATGACCTTGCTGAAGAACTAGCCTCCCCTTACTACCTTTGATCTGTGAGACCAAAGCAACTCCATTTTGCTAAAATCCACCATTCCCCTAGCCTCTCACAAATTAATGGTTAAAATGTGTTTGCTTTGGGACACTAGATAAAAATCTGTAACAGACCTAAAGTCCCAAAGTAAACTACTCAACTCCTTGTTTGCCCGGAACTGATGTTCCAGGCACCATAATTTTTAGAACAAGCTGCAAATATCTGCTGACCATCAATACATGACAGTCGACCACTAACCGTTGTCCCTCTTTTCCCCTGTAAAACCTACATGTAACTGCCCCTCAACCCTGATGAGCCTAGCCAATCAGAAATGTACACTTCATGCTTGCTAAATTCTGACCAATCATGTAACTGCTAAATGGAAAATCTCCAAACCTTGCTGTAACCTCTATGAAAACCCCGCCAATTTGAAATTTGGGGCTCTCAATTCTGATCCGCTGCATAGGTGATGGTTGAGAGCCCCTGCTCGAGCTTGAATAAATGACCCTCATGTACTTGCATCAGGAACGGCTTCCTGGTGGTCTTTGGGACTTTGCAATCTGGGCACAACAGAACCAGCTCTGGTAGTGTAGCTAACACAACCAAAATGACAAGGGCTTGAAAAATATCAAGATGTTCCAAGGACTCATAGTCTTGTGGACACTCAGAGTACTAGGAAAGGCTTAGTCGCATACAGATGTAACAATGATTATATATATATATATGTATATATATATATATATACACATACCATCATTAGAGTTCAAACAGAATTTTTCCTTGATGTGTTCACCTAGTTATCCCTATGAGGTTAAAAGAGAATCGGCTAAAGATTGTGGTAGAGAAGATAAAATTAATAATAAGTTAGTATTTTACACTAAAATTTTAATTGAGAAATAAAAATGAAATGGCAAAAACATATGTACAGTATTAATCATTATATCTATTATTAACCATTATATCTATTAAAAAATAGATCCCTGGAAAAACAAAGATCCCAGGAAACTTTGCATAGAATTATAGTACTGTAAATATTTGAATACAATATTGTAAAAAACATACCACTGGATCTTAGGGGAAAAGGTAAAGATAAATAAAATAAGTTGGAATATGAAACTTCAAAGTCATTGTGATAAAGAAGTTGCTTTGGAATCAGGGTTGAGTTGAAGACCTAGTTCTACGACCTTAAGTCAGTTGTTTTATCTCTTTGTGACTCATTTTCCTCCTCTGCAAAAGGAGGTTGTAACAGATAAAAGATTAGTATATGTAAATGTGTGGCATAGTAGGAACCCAATCCATTAAAATCATCATCATTATTGTTTCATAAAGAAAGGTGATCATGATCGAAGATGACACATCTGATTATTTTAGGAGAAATAACTTATATGGAGAGTGTAAGATTGCTAAGATCTAAAAACATGAAAGCCTTACAAATGTAGAATAAATGAGATGAAATAATATAACTAAAGTCTTAAAGAAAAATGAATCAATGCAATGTAAATGATAGAGTTCCACTACAAGGGCATCCTTCAAGTAAAGAGCTGAAGGTTCTTAGCACATAAGTTAGAAAAGATCCTTGTGCCAGAACTCACCACATGAAATAAAACCAATAGTTTCTGAAATTGCTTGGCACCAGAGTCCTGGCCAGGCAGGAATGCTCCACAATGGAGGGTGAGAATTCTGCCAATCAGAGCCCTTCTTCTGGAATGCCTGGATAGGAGACATTCAGCAATGGACACTGAGTGGCCCAGAAGTTGTAAAGCACACAAAGAATTTCTGTAAGCAGAAGCCAAGAGGCATAGGATTCACTGGTAAAAAAAGACAGTTGTGCCTGAGAGATTGCAGGACAAATCACTAGCTAAAAGAACAAGAGAAGCAGCCAGAACAGTTAATGTGGAGGCAAAATGCTGGGCTAGAAGCAGCTGACACTGGCTTCTGTAGAGACATCTTCTAAAATGCAACAGATCCCAGAAATTCTTGTCATCACCAGAGCTCTCTCTTTGTGTGTGTGTGTGTGTGTGTGTGAGAGTGCGTGTCTCTGTGTGTGTCTATCTGTGCAGTCATTCACAAGGCTTCTTGTCTCTCTCTTTTCAGTGAGAACACACTGACCCGACAACAAACACCCATGAGTTGAGATTCTCTGAATGTGCCTCTGTCTCCAGCAAACTGGGAGAGTATAATTGACACACTCTCTTGAGCAGCAGAGAGAACCACTTAGCTCAAGTCAGGCAAGGACTCTCACTCTTATTGTCCTGACAACAGGCTGAATGGCTTCACCAAAACAGCAGCTCAAGAAAACTATTTCTACTGATTCAGATTTTCCCTACTGTCCCTTAGCTCTGTCTCTTTATCTCTATAACACTTAAACACTCTCACATTCATTATTGCATTTAGTTCTGATGGCTTTAAAAAATTTTCTTTTCTGGGTACTGGGGATGGAACTTGGGACCTTGTGCTTGTGAAGCAGGCAGCAGAAACACTGAGCTAAATTCCCTGCCCCTGATGGCTTTTTAAAAACCTTTAAGGCAGCAGAGCAGTGGACAGATTCTTCTTCCACAGATGAGGTAGATTTGAAGATATGAGCAAGGCCAGGTGGCTAGTTCTCTGTTTCTTCAACTCAAAACAGTATGTATTACAGCATACCCTCAAAGATGGAGGAATGTGGTTAGATAAACACTGACCAAATGGCACTGAGGAGAAACCAACCAAGGAAAAATGAAAGAGATGACCCCTTGGCCTTTTACAGCAGGTGTCATCAGGAGAGTCCCAAGGGAATTCTAAACATGACCAGGACAAACATACATTCTAATTGTCCATAGGTTTGAGGACTCCTGGACTCCAACCATTCTAACCTTGGTCCCACCTCCTTTCACCCTCAAAATTGTTTCAATGTAGGCAATAGTTTATATGCTCAACTTTGTTATAAGCCTTGAGGTGTTGCTACTTAATAAATCAAGGAAAGTTAAAAGTGTGTTTTCTTTATAAATAAAAGAGAAAAACATACTGAGAAAAATATCTCTTGAAAAATTATGAATGATATAAATTTAAAACCTGAAAGGTTTGGATTTAAGCAGATTTTTGAACCAATTAGAACTACCAGATTTTTGGAGCATTTCAGTCCATGCTTCTTCAGGTGGAGTCCTTAACTGCACTTGTGGCATGGGAGTTGTTTCAGACAGCACAGGCTGCTATAACAAAGTGCCATAGACCAGATAGGATGCTAACAACAGACGTTTATTTCTCACAGTTCTGGAGACTCAGAGTCTGGAATCGGGGTGCCATCATGGGCAGGTTCTAATGAGGGCTTCTTCTAGATTTATAGACTGCTGATTTCTCCTATCCTGAACTGGAGGAAAGAAATTATGCTAGTTTTCTGGCCTCTTTTAATAATGGTTCTAATTCCACTCATGAATTAATTCTGGGAGAGCATAACTATTCAACCCATAATAGTAGACATCCCAATCAATTTTTCTTCAGTCCATCCCCAATCCCCAATCCATCCTATAGGTTACCAAAAGGTTAACTTTTCTAGAACACTAGTTTTATCATCATGTCTCTGCTCAAAAATTTAGAGCTCCCCTGCCTCATGTCATTAAAAGGAATTCACTCATTTGAATGACTTTCCAAATATTCCATTGAATAGCTTATCCTGTCTCCCAAGAGTCCTATGACTCTACTGTTGATAATTTGCATTATTGGCATTTGTTCATGTACCAGTCATGTATGGCTATTGTTTTTCTTGGTGTAGATTGCATTTTCTGAATAGAATTCACAAGTTGTAGTGATAATATCCCCCTCATTTCAAGCACAGGTGGTTTTGGCTGAGATCCTAAATCCAGAGCTTCTTAAGAATAGGAATTATCAAGATGGTGGCGGTGGTGACGCCCTTGCATGTGGAACCCCTCCATCATGGCAGGGCCTGCGGGAAGTGAAGTTCTCAGAGGAACCCCCAGAAGTTTACGGTGACTTGGAATCCCAGAAGGCCAAAGAAAGGTCTACGGTGGGAAGAGAAACCCAGCCAGAAGAGTTTCAGCCAGATTCTGCAAAAGAGGAAGGGAGAGAAAGTGCCTACTACCTTCGGTCTCGGACCCCAAGCAGTCGAAGAGATGAACACGCGAAGGACTGCCCACCTTCTGCAACCACACGCACAGCAGCCTCCGCTAGAGCCGTCACAGGTTACGAGCCAGAGAGGGTTGCGGGGCTCTCTAGCCTCTGAAGAAGATGAACCATCTTTTCAAACTGTTACAAACCAAGCAGTCTCAAAGAAATCTGTCAGAACACAAGAAGCTGCAGTGACCAGTGAAGATCCTGTAATTAGCCTTTGTAGACCCCCTCTGAGAAGCACAAGATCTGATTCAGCAAACAGAACAAATGAAAATACTAAGATGAATGAATTAGAAGCCTCCAGGGTCGAACAGAAGGTCAATTTCTCTGAAGAAGGAGAAACTGAAGATGACAACCAAGGCGGTTCTTACAGTGATAGCACTACTATTAAGGTCAGATCTGGGGATTCTGTTGAATCTGGAGATCAAACCACTAGATCATCTGGTCAATGTCCAGAATCAATTCGGAGATTACCCCAAAGTCTTGACTCCACAGCTCGTAATAAGCAATCTTCAGTGCTGAGCTCAGGATATCAAGAAAACCCCTCAGGAATGGTTTGAACAACAAATAACAATGAGAACTAGAATGCAAAGTGACAACATTCAGATGTCAGAGCTTGGAAACCAGTCTCCATCCCTCTCCAGCCAACTTTGGGAAAGAGCCAGAAGTTAAAGGATGTCAGATTAGAAGTAGCTGAACAGCCCCAAAATGAATATTTTTTCAAGAAGAAATGGTTTTTGTGCCTACTTGTTGTAATAAGTGTTCTTGTCTTTTGGAATTTTTCTTTTATTCATACGCCTGGGGTAGAAACTGCTGCTGTTAAAATGTTCCAGAACCAGATGAAACAACTTAGAAATAAGTACCAAGGTCAAGATGAGAAGCTGTGGGAAAGAAGCCTAACATTTCTTCAGAAACATCTTAATAGATCCCATCCACAGCCTCAGCCTGCTGTCTTACTGCTCACTGCTGCCCAAGAAGCTGAGGAAGCACTTAAGTGTCTGAGTGAACAAATTGCTGATGCCTATTCTTCCTTTCGGAGTGTCCGTGCCATCCGGATTGATGGGACAAGCAAAGCTGCTCAAGACAGTGATGGTATCCAACTGGAGGTACATCTGGAATTGAGCAATGGTTTCACAAATGGCCAGAATGCAGCTGTGGTGCACTGCCTTGAATCACTGCCTGTAGGCTCTACTTTAATTTTTGATAAATATTGTGATTATGAAAATGCAGCCTTCAAAGATGTAGCCTTAGTCTTGACTGTCCTATTGGAGGAGAAAACCCTTGGAACCAGTCTAGGCCTAAAGGAAATTGAAGAAAAAGTGAGAGATTTCCTCAAAGTTAAATTTACCAGCTCCAGCAACCCGAGGTCCTATAATCATATGGACCCAGACAAATTTAATGGGCTTTGGAGCCATGTATCTCACTTTGTCCTGCCTGTACAGCCTGAAAATGCTCTGAAAAGGGGCATCTTCTTGTTAGGGATGAAAGAAGGAAAAATCATGCCTCAAATCTAAGAAATTTTCAGACTTTTTTTTTTTTTTTTTTACCAGAGACAGAATTCAAAGCACTCTTTGAATGAACTGTTTCATTTTAAAAGAAGTTAAGTTCTTATATAAACATGGAACATCTAAATCATTTATTCAACCTAATTATTTGTGACTTCAGAGAATTATTTCTGTTTCTGGTGAGAGCTACGTTGAGTATTTAGAGGAGTGCAAATTGTATGCATTCCCATCAAGAATCTGGTTTGATTCTGGGCAGAATCATTGCTGTAGTATGAACAGTTTGAAAGATTAGGCATCTTTCGTATGAATGAGCCTTGTTTTTTTAACTTAACTTAGATTTTTAAGTTTGTTGAGTTCATAAGGCAGCTCTTTAATTGTAATCATGGGTTTTCCCATTATGTTTCTGCTTACAACATTTAGCCCTGAGTTCCTTAGTCAGCTTTTGCTTAGGAACAAAAGTAAAGAAAGATCATCTGCATATGTGTTAAGATTTTTTTCCCTTTATTTCTGGAGAGTAGAGAGGAGGAGAAAAAGCAAGAGAGGAATTATAGAATGGATAAAGAAGGAAATGGAAGGGTAAAAAAAAATTCAATATGAAATGTTACAGTAAACCACTAAGAGGTAGGTTAGTGAAACATCTAAACCCTTATCTTGGTGAATTCTATTGGAATTTTTTTGTATTTATTATTTTTTTTTCTCCTCTAGGAAATTCTTGGTTATTCCAAGAATTTTTAGTCTGTATATTAGAAGGCTTCGTATAATTGCTCATTTGACTTTGAAGGGTAAATTCAGAGCAGTTCATTTTGAGCAAATCTGAAGTTTTTGTTTTGAATTAAGAAATAACAGTTTCAGAACTTGGTAAGCCATTTGTTAACCTGCTATTCTGAGCTATTATTGATTCAATTTCTGCTTGTCCACTTGTTGTAGTCTAAGTCTTTTAATGATACTCTTTAGCAAATGTAAAGATTTACTATGCATGTGATAAATTTGTGTGCATCAAGCCAAAAAAGATAATGAACTTTACCACATATAAAGAATGTTAAATGTATAACTGGAGTTTTCTCATCTTTCAACTGCTTTGTTTTTCTTTAAATATAATTCTAGATCTGTTTTGAGGTTTTTTTTTAATTGTCCACAAGCTATTAAGTGAAAATACTGTTTTTAGAATACTAGAGCCAGACACTAGCTTCCTTTACCCTCTGAGGACCTTACAACTTATGGTAAGTGTGGTCTGATTTCTTTCCACTAGAGTTACCAGCATTCATAAATGTATACCCCTTTACTATAATTTGTTCCTAACAATCTGAAGACAGATGATCTGATTTTTTTTTTATTAAGAAAGTCAGGGTTTTATTTAGCATTATATCTGAGGTTCTAATGAGAACAAAAGAAGAAATCAAAGATGGATCCCACATTCAATTTTAAGGAGGCTCAGGAAAATGAAAGCACAAAACCTGTAACCAATCTTCAAAGTATGAAATGTCACATGTTTATAACACATGCAATATATGTACTATGGGGACTTCCTAGCAAACAAAGATGGTCTCAATACAGTAACTGTAGTCTTTCTAATCTGAAGACTCCAATCCATGTTGTTTTGCTCTTTTTCTCACTTCCAACCTAAAATTCTAGGGACAAAATTAATAATCTGGGAAGATTCTGGGGGGTAAAAAGACTGAGAGGATATGACGTCAGCCCTGAGAAACAGGTAAATTGGCCTAGTGTTCAAGAAACATAATGCTCCTCCATCCCAGGCTCCTAGGGCACTGAAACTCAGCCGGTCCCAGCACCTGGAAGGAAGCTCCCCGCCTCCATCCCAGGCTCCTAGGGCCAAGAAGGTGAGCCGGTTCCAGCACCCAGAAGTAAGCTTCCCCACCTCCATCCCAGGCTCCTAGGGCAGTGAAGCTCAGACGGTCCCAGCACCCAGAAGGAAGCTCCCTGCCTCCATCCCAGGCACCTAGGGCAGTGAAGCTCAGCCAGTCCCAGCACCCAGAAGGAAGCTCCCCTGCCTCCATCCCAGGCTCCTAGGGCCAAGAAGGTGACTGGTCCCAGTACCTGGAAGGAAGCTCCCCTGCTGCCATCCCAAGCTTCTAGGACAGAGAAGCTGAGCCGCGTGGGCACCAGAAGCACCCC